GACCAGTATGCATACCTAAATTATGTATATTACAGTTGATTTCCTCTATTCTGTTTCTTATAATATATAGTACATTACTGTATAAACATTTAAAAATATTCTAAAAATGTTATAAATGGTGCAAAGGTGACATTAAAATAATATAAAAAATGTTTGACACAAACTCACTACCATTATAGTACATGCTCCTTGCTTAACGATGAATTCATTTACCGACCTACTCTTAGTAACAACTCCATCGTTAAGTGAGAGGTTGTATACAGTAATTACTAATTTCTTTTCAAATTTCTGGGCCACTAACTGGCTTACTGATATTTGGGTTGAGATTAATTAAATCAAATGATATAATTCTCTATAGCAACTATTCAAGTGCAAAATACAGCATGTCTGAAAACCTAATAACAATGTATACATGGGCTTGCATCAGACAAAAAAAAAAAGCCACCCTTCCCACAGAAACTATGCCATGTTAATGCCTCTGAACTTCATTTTTTAAACTGTCCAAGAGTAATTTTCATTTCTTATTTTAATTAAAGAACAGTTAATCTTGATGTAAAAAAATAAGACATTGCAGAACAAACTTTTATTGGGATATCATTTTGTGAAATGTCCTAATAGAAGCTTATTCTGCAATGTGTGTGGTTTCTTCACTATTGTTAGCAGTACACCAACTGCAGCTGCACATTAGAGCCCTATATTTGCTTTCTTTTTTTTTTTAACATGCTGGCCGTCTTCTACTGAGGCAGGGTGACCAAAAGAGAGAAACTCTTTCACCATCATTCACACTATCATTGTCTTGCCAGAGACGCAAAGTTATGACAGTTCAGATGTCACTCTGAATGACAAATATCCCAAACCCCTCCTTTAGAGTGCAGGCACTGTACTTCCCACCTCTAGGATTCAAGTCCAGCTAACATTTCAAATATATTTTCTTGTTCAATCTCTCAAGGACTTTTTAACTCATGAATCATCTAAACTACTCCAGACCTTGGAGTGTCAGAAGTCTGACAAAAATTCAACAATGCAGATGCAATAGCAATACCCAAAGTCAAAACTGCATGGGATCACATGCCCCAGTCAAGAATAAATGTAGGCTGGGGAAAATCATGGCATAGTATTTTGAATAAATTCAAAGGATTTCCTTCAGCAGTCAGGTTCCGTAAACTGTTGATCTGGCAAGGAGAATACAAGGTCAGGACTTTGAGTATATGCAGGCAGAAAACATGCAGGAACTCTTAGCATGCAGGAACTCTTAGAAGATAAAGAAAATATTGTAGAAATGTTGGAGCTCATTTCCCAGATAGAAGAGACAGATAACAAAAAAAGATAAGGAAGAACTGGAACCAAAGTAATTAACACTAAGACATACACGAAATGCTGCATACTACTGAAAAAGTTGTGGATTTTGTTGACTGAAATGGAAAATGATAAATCTAGAAGCTTTGCTGTGAAGCAGGAACAGGAGCAGCTGATGGTGCCTTAGCATACAAGGTAATATACAGCAGACATCAAAAAATTAAATTAAAAGTTAAATTCATTTTTATTTCTTCAGTCATATTAATTAGTTACTGGAGCTATATACGTATTCAAAATTATTATATTTTTACCTGGATCTTATAATACAGTTAAAATCTGATACAATATAAGACCCTAAAGAAAGCCACCAATTATGCAAATGCATTTTGGTCTAACTAATCGTAGAGCTTACATATTTATTATATCTAGACCTAGTATGGGACAGTCCAACTTATACAACAGGTTAGGTCCTGGGTTGCTGCTGTAAAGTGAAAAGCAATCCAAACTGAATTATAGCCTTTTTTCAATTTCAAATGCATATAAAAGCCTCGTGACATGTTTACACTATCAAATAATAAATGAGCAATATAGCTAGGCCTAAAACATGCATATACAGTGCACACACTACTTACCTTGTCTGAACAAATGAAGAATGGGTACAATTGAAAACCACTGCATTAGCAAAACATTATAAAGTGGGGCCTGCCTGTATATAATTTAAGTCGATACAGCTTGGGTAATTCATTACATTCATAAGTACAGTGAGACAGATTGCAAATTAAGAATTGGTCATTTACAAATAAATTACATGTACATCGAAATTACATCAGTTCACTGTATGGAGTAGTTGAATTGAGGTGGTGAAATTAAAACATGAGAATTCACACACAGTTAATGAATATAACATTTATGCGACACTTAATGGGTAATTTTTAACAGTATCAATAAAGATGATGGTGGATTGGGGCACTTTTGGCATTTTCAGACAGCTAGTTTTAAATTTTTGGGTTTTATTTGCATGGTTTTTGAACATGTTGAGTCATACACATGGAATGTCAGAGATCCCAGCCATCCACCTTGACCTAAAAACCCCAGCAAACTACCTCAAGCCAGCAGGGCCACAGCAACCCTCTCCACTGACATCAAATTCATCATGTATCAACAACCAGAATTTAAAAACAATAAACTATTCGTAACTTTTTATTTCAGTGGGTTATCCTAGGTTAACTATACAATGTACTCATTTTTAATCAGGGAAAATATTAAACCCACTGGGGCCATACAGCACCCACAAAATGGAAGGCATTCAAGGGCCAATACAAGGAAAGGGAGGAGAAATCCAGGTCCTTGGATCAAGAGCCATGTACTGCCATCAAGGTACCTTCTTGAGGGAGGATATATAATGCACTGTACATAACTGTAATGTGACCATAACATCAGTGTGACTGCATGACTACTGTGAAATAATTTTATTTAATTTTTGAGGCATCAGGAATATAATCCAATTTGTCACTTAAGTTGTTTGCTACAAATATGTTTTCACACAGAGCACTGTTTCAGGATCATAACCCACATGGAAGGTAACAGTCTACTGTACATTAAAAAAAAAGTGCTAAACCATGGGTCATTAAGAACATTGTTCATTGAGAAACATTTCAGTAGTCAGTTAGGGGTGCCGACCCTCCCCCCCCCCCACACACAGTCAAAATCAGTATATAACTTTTGACTCCCAAAAACTTAACTACTAAAGCTTACTGGAACCCTCACCGGTAACATAAACAGTCGATAAACACATTTTTGTACGTGTATTATATGCTGTATTCTTACTATAAAGTAAGCTAGACAACAGAAAATGTTATTAAGAAAATCAAAAGGAAGAGAAAATACATTTATAGCACTGTACTCTATTTATCGATACCGTAAGCTCATCTCATGTTTACAAGATGAATTGTCTGTCTTTCAGTACCTACATCAATATTGTGTTATATGATACAAAACACTGTAGATGTTATACATATTACTAACACTAAACATCAAAAATGAAAAGATAATATGAAAAAGAAATTCATATTTGTTTTTTATTTAATATTGCATCTTTATGTATTTTTACATTTCTCTCGACTGTGGACGGAATACGTATGTACAAACTGTAATAATATTATTATTATTTTATTATACCTGGAGTTTACCTGGAGAGTGTTCCAGGGGTCAATGCCCCCGCAGCCCGGTCTGTGACCAGGCCTCCTGGTGGATCAGAGCCTGATCAACCAGGCTGTTACTGCTGGCTGCACGCAATCCAATGTACGAGCCACAGCCCAGCTGGTAAGGTACCGACTTTAGGTGCTTGTCCAGTGCCTGCTTGAAGACAGCCAGGGGTCTATTAGTAATCCCCCTTATGTATGCTGGGAGGCAGTTGAACAGTCTCGGGCCCCTGACACTTATTGTATTGTCTCTTAACGTGCTAGTGACACCCCTGCTTTTCATTGGGGGGATGTTGCATTATTATATTATAATATACAGCCTCTCCTCACTTCGCAACATACTCATTTATCAACAACTCAGACTTATGACAGGCTCTCTGACCATTATGCATACCTAAATAATGTACACCTACCATCCGACTTACGACCTGCTCGACTTACGACCACTCGACTTAGACCGTGTTTTTTATGCCAAATTTCTGGGAAAAAAACAACTATTTGTGTTGTACACAGTGTTTATCCTAAACCTTACAGTATAAAATACAGTACTAACAGCATAAAAAGTAAAGTAAAACATGAAATACCAAAATAAAACAATAAAATAAAGTCATTACAAAAATGTTTTGTTGATATTCAGTAGTAAAGTTCGACTTACGACCATTCCGACTTACGACCGGTCGTAAGTCGGATGGTAGGTGTATATTACAGCTGATTTCCTCTATTCTTTTTATTACAATATATAGTACACTACTGTACAAACATTTAAAAATATACTAAAAATGTTATAAATGGTGCAAAGGTGACATTAAAACAATATCAAAGATGGATGACACAAATCCACTACCATTATAGTGTGCTCCTTACTTGGTGACGAATTCATTTACCAACATGGTCTTATCAATCAATCAATCAAAGTTTATTCTCTATAAGGATTACAATGCGGAGTTTACAGAATTTGGTTATTGTGTGGTTTACATGTAGTAAAATACTAATTACAGAGGGGGCCACTAGAACACCAAGCATGGCTAGGCATTTCGGACAAACTTTGATTAATTCTTAACCCTAAATTATAACAAATTATAACAAATTGTGTGGAACAGAACTTTATCGTTAAGTGAGAAGAGGCTGTATTATTATTATTATTATTATTATTATTATTATTATTATTATTATTATTATTGCATCTGTAATTGTTCACATTTCGCTCAACTGCAAATGGAGCATATACAATCTGTAATTGTTTGTGGGTGGGAGTTTTGATAAATTTTAACTTTTTATAATAGATTTGTGTATATTTTATGGTAGTAAATAATAAAATGGATTAGACACCATGTTATGCATTCATAACATACCTAACTTTCTTAATTTTTTTTTGGTAACAAATCTCCTAAAAAAATTTCCAATGTATTGTATTCACTAAAAAAATCTGCAAACCCGTGCAGTTCAAACCCATGTTGTTCAAGGGTCAACTGAATATAGATTACAAAGAAAAACATTCCTCACCTCCTCCTTGAAGAGAATATCCTGTGATGCCATGAATAATGGAGATGAGCCTTTGTCATTTGTTGCATTTACTGGAGCACCACATGCCAGTAGGAAGGATACGACCCCAGCAGAGGGGAATGGGGTCATATGTTCATCTTCTAATAATGAGTGATTATTTAACACATTCGTTTTCATAGCTGCAAGATGAAGGAGAGAATGACCTCCCTGACACGTTCTAGGGTCCAAGCGAAGAATGCCATTTACAAGAGATGTCACTTTATCTTGTTGATCATCTGTTCTTGGGATATGAAGCACCACAAAAAGCATGTGTGTTAAAACTTTCAACATATGATCAAAGTTGCTTTGGTGTTTTTTATGAACAGGTTGAATTCGGAGAAGAGCCATGCACTTCGGAAGCTGGTCTGCAAGCAGCTCTAGGGTACAGTATGCATCATCAAAACTGACTGTATTCTGCATCACTCCTGCTCCGTGTTTGTCAATCATGTCTAAATATAATCGAACTAATGCTTGGGCTGTGAAACAGGTTTCATTAAAAAGTATTGTATCTCTCTGAATTCTAAGCTCCAGGGCATATAGCCACAGGTCAATACAATTTTGATATTGAAGAGAATCTGCATATGCTGCCCCTCGATACATTAATCTAAATATCATGTCCTTATGGGTTGTTCCCAATATACGTTCACAAATTAATAAACTTTGTGTTCGCATGCCATTCAAATCGATAGCAATAACTTCTAGCTCTTCTGAAGTTTTGAATTCTAAAGAATACTGGTAATTGCGTCTTGCAGGCAATATTTCTTTCAAAGCCCCAGATGCCTGACGAATACATGTGGCTTTTCTCCAGTACTGTAGAGCAGCCTGGATATCATGATGTTCATCCAAAAAAGTCGTACCAAGTAGCTCATACCCATTTGCTATCCGGCCTGGGTTATAAGAAACAACATTGATTAAATACTCAAAGATCTGACAGGCACCCTTGATGCAAGCAGTCTGAAGTGCATCATCATGGTATCTACTGGTCAGGTGTGGATTTGCTCCATGGTCCAGCAGTAACTTTGTGGTCTCAAAACGATGTTCTTGAATGGCATAGTGTAAGGCTGTTTTGTTCTGAATATCTTGTGCATTGACATCAGCATCATGTTTAAGCAGGTATTCACACAACTTGACACTCTGGACAGAATTAATCAAACATGTACCACCATTATAATTGGGTTTAGAAATATTTGCACCATTTTCCACCAGGTAAGTGACAATATCATGATGTGTCATGAAGCAGGCGCTGCGGACTGGGGTTGACCCAGTATCTGATACACTGTTAACATCAGCACCATGTTGCACTAAACATTTAACAACAGGCAAACGGCCAGCAACAGAAGCACACCAAAGAGGTGTTACATTATGAATGGATCTATCATCTGGCACTTCATAAAGTCCCCGCTGCTCAGCATCTGCACTACACGTAGTTATAAGATAATCCACTACTTCAACATTGCCTCTCTTGCATGCAACAAAGAGAGGCGCACAACCATCTCTAGTTCTGGTCACTATTTCTTTTCTATCCTCTCTCTGGAACCTCTCTAGCCTGGTCCGCAGCATGTAGGACAGTCTAGCCCCGGGGGCAATATTTCGACACTCATTGTACAAATCGGTGAATATCTGTTCTTTATGCGAGGTCTGGTCAACCTTCCCCGTAATCCACATCCTACGCTTGAAAACTGAGAAGAAATTTTCCTTTGAGGAATCCAGCGCGACTACCTTACTCCACACCTCAAGGAAAAGAAGTGGTGAATGATTTGGGAGAGAGGGAAGGCTGGTATTGTTAACACACGACACTTGTAAGTAAGACGTGATGCATGTAATGTTACAACGTCAAGTGTATGTGTCAGAATGAAGATACTGCAAACTCTCTCTCTCTCTCTCTCACCTGCTGCCACACACCACTACTTATATATAATACATTATCTACAACTCATTATATACCTTCAAAATCCTTTTATAACTCTCACATCTGACCTCATAATTCTCTGTCAAAATTACTCAGATACACTTGTGAATATATATTCCAATAAAGCATGTTTTATATATAAAAACATGAATAAACAATGCCCTGTCATCTGACAACACTAGTGTCATAGATCTGCCAGATACTTCAATAATTACTGAAAATTTTCAATACAAACTACTTATATATATTTCCTTTCATAATTTTGGAGGCCAATATTATACTAAAACGTTTCCCAGAAGTAGTAAATTTTAATGTAATTCTACACAACCTATTTGTGTTAATGAAACTGCTAATTTCTTACTTAACCATATATAATAAAATACATTTCCTGCTCTATTAACATTAACATCAAGGACACAGAAAGAATGTAAATATTTATTCCCTAATTTGTCAAAAGTGTTCTTTGTTTTCTGTGTCAGCTAAAATATGCAATAATAAGCTAAATAAAATCAATATTCAATGCCTATATAACAAACATTGTGAAATAATAAACAGTTATACTGTAGTATAACTGCTAGGATAGACATACTGTATATCATTTATATACAGTAATGTTGTATGCAATATAAGGAACATTCGCTAGAAAAAATATCAATGTTTAAAATGCTTCGTACAGGAGACAAACTATATTAGTCTTCAGATTAAAATATTTTAACCATAAAAACAATACACATAATAAGTGTTCATGTGTGAAGAGATATAGTGAGCAAATCTAGACTTGTTTATCATTCTGACATCTTGTGTGAGCTAGCTGGTCACTTTACTACTAAACACAACTACAGACCTTGTATCCTAGGTTACTTCACAGTGCCCTAAATATTTTAAACAAAACACCACCTTGCAACACACATAAGAAAACATGCAACACTTAAACCATATCTATGCAACATTTCTTCCTTTAAAATGTGATACAAATAATGTAGTTTATATGTAATAAAACAATGGTAGACAATGCATTTCAGAGTATCTGAAATGTTTTAGCATGAAGTGTAAATCTGTAAGACATGAAAAACCAGATGAAAGATAATACTAAGAAAATTGATAAGATGGATGAGAACAGACTGACGGTGCGAGCACCTGGAGTTTACCTGGGGAAGAGTTCCAGGGGTCAACTCCCCCGCGGCCCGGTCTGTGACCAGGCCTCCTGGTGGATCAGAGCCTGATCAACCAGGCTGTTGCTGCTGGCTGCACGCAAACCAACGTACGAGCCACAGCCCGGCTGGTCAGGAACCGACTTTAGGTGCTTGTCCAGTGCCAGCTTGAAGACTGCCAGGAGTCTGTTGGTAATCCCCCTTATGTATGCTGGGAGGCAGTTGAACAGTCTCGGGCCCCTGACACTTATTGTATGGTCTCTTAACGTGCTAGTGACACCCCTGCTTTTCATTGGGGGATGTTGCATCGTCTGCCAAGTCTTTTGCTTTCGTAGTGAGTGATTTTCGTGTGCAAGTTCGGTACTAGTCCCTCTAGGATTTTCCAGGTGTATATAATCATGTATCTCTCCCGCCTGCGTTCCAGGGAATACAGGTTCAGGAACCTCAAGCGCTCCCAGTAATTGAGGCGTTTTATCTCCGTTATGCGCGCCGTGAAGGTTCTCTGTACATTTTCTAGGTCAGCAATTTCACCTGCCTTGAAAGGTGCTGTTAGTGTGCAGCAATATTCCAGCCTAGATAGAACAAGTGACCTGAAGAGTGTCATCATGGGCTTGGCCTCCCTAGTTTTGAAGGTTCTCATTATCCATCCTGTCATTTTTCTAGCAGATGCGATTGATACAATGTTATGGTCCTTGAAGGTGAGATCCTCCGACATGATCACTCCCAGGTTTTTGACGTTGGTGTTTCGCTCTGTTTTGTGGCCAGAATTTGTTTTGTACTCTGATGAAGATTTAATTTCCTCGTGCCTATGGTTCTTAGAGATGTTGACTAAAGTAACAGGGAGATGGAATGAACTGGATGTAGACATGGTGGAGGTAAACAATGTACACACAGCTTTAAGACTAGGAATGAGGCCAGAAATCGCATTGTGCCTGTTACGCCTCATAAATAATCCAGAATTATGATTTACATGTTAAGTTTTAGTGCCCATAAACTGATATGATTAATGAGGCCAAATTCTATTACGAATCTTCAGAAATACATTAATGTTTATGAAAACTACAGATTATCGCAAACCATACAAAACCGGGCCGCGGGGGCGTTGACCCCCTAAAACCTCTCCAGGTAAACTCAAGAAGAAGTCTTGTGAGCGTAGTACACTGTATCAGCTAGATAAATTATTTACAGAATAAAATGATTATTCTGACTGTGTGTCTGCCCTTTGTACATAGTGTCGTCGCTACTGCAGACTCAATAATTTAGTGAGACCTTAGCAACGATGTTCTCCCAATAGAGGAGGTTCATATATCCAGCTGGCGAAAAAAAAATACCAATAATTATAATTTAGAGTAAATGAAGGTTATAACAAAATTATCCCCGAGACTCCCCAAGCCTGTGTCTAATAGTGTACTGAGTTACTTTAATATGTTTATTATGCATCCCATACCCATCCTGTGGGCGGTAGTCAAAAAGATTAAAGAGGTACATAATGGGTCCAGGGACTGGACCCCAAAGTTTTGATAGTTGAACAAGTTGCAAATGTAATGAACTATTCAATGAGAATTGTGAAAATTCACGAGAGCACTTGGAATTTCACTATTTTTCACTGCGGCTATTTTACATATTAAGATATCACATGATTCTTATAATCTTATTACATATACTGAGAAGTGTACATTTTTGTGTATATGCAACGAGAGGCTAGTATCTATCAGTGTATGTACATCGAGAAGTGTGTGCCTTAGTGTGTATACATCAAGAGGTGTAAATCGGTGGATAATACATCGAGCGATGTATATCTCAGTTCATATACATCGAGCGATGTATATCTCAGTTCATATACATCGAGCGATGTATATCTCAATTCATATACATCAAATTCAAATTCAAATTCAAATTCAAAGTTTATTCTCTATAAAGATTACAATGTTGAATTTACAGAATTTGGTTGTTGTGTGGTTTACATGTAGTTAAATAATGATTACAGAGTGTACCACTAGAACGCCTAGCATGGCTAGGCATTTCGGGCAGACTTAGTTTAATTCTTTATTTTAAAATATTACAAATTATGAGGTAAGTTGGTATTATGGCTAAGTGACTAAATACTAGTTTGTGAGTTTAGCAATGTGAATGCTTTTGTTTTGGCACAGTACATAGTTTCAGTATTGGAGTATCATAGGATTCATTATTTTAAGATTGAGATTAATATTTCTGTTTATGGTCAAATGGGTGAGTGAGTGTAAGTGTGAACCACCAGGTGGTATTCGTGTAGTTAGTTGATGGGGTTTATCAGGGAGATAAGATGTTTTCTAATGGTAGTTTTGAAGGTGATGAATGTGTCTGCAGTTCTAGAGTTCTCAGGTAGGGTGTTCCAGATTTTAGGGCCTTTGACATACATTGAATTTTTGTAAAGGTTTAGTCGGACATGGGGAATGTCGTAGAGATGTTTGTGTCTGGTGTTATGCCTGTGGGTTCTGTCACAACTATCAAGAAAGCGTTTTAGGTCAAGGTTGATATTGGGTCCTGTAGATGTAGATTGCACAGTAGTAAGTGTGGCTGTACTGAACAGGGAGTAAGTTTAGATCTATGAAGAGTGGGGGGGGGTGTTGCTTTTTGTTGGGTTATTATTGGCTTTAGGTGTGTTGCTGCAGTTGATCCCCAAGCACAAATAGCATAGGTGAGGTATGGATAAATAAGTGAGTGGTATAGTGTGAGAAGGGCATTTTGCGGCACGTAGTATCGTATCTTGGAGAGGATCCCAACTGTTTTGGATACTTTTTTGGTTATGTGTTGGATATGGGTGCTGAAATTCAGGTTGTTGTCAAGGTATAGGCCTAGGAATTTGCCCTCATTATGTCTGGTAATTAGAGTGTTGTCGATCTTAATGTTAATTTGTGCATCTCCTGCTCTGCTACCAAACATAATATAGTAGGTTTTGTCAGTGTTAAGCGTAAGTTTATTGGCTGTCATCCAAGTCGATATTTTGATCAGCTCCTCGTTAACAATGGTGTTGAGGGTGGCAAGATTAGGGTGAGAGATGACATAAGTCGTGTCGTCAGCAAAGAGAATGGGTTTCAGGTGTTGGGATACGTTTGGAAGATCATTGATGTATATGAGGAAGAGCAGGGGACCAAGGACACTTCCCAGCGGAACTCCAGTATCAAGTGGCCGTGTTGTTGATGCTGTCTTTAATGGTAACATACTGATACCTATTAGTAAGGTAAGATTTGAAATAAGCAAGTGATGTTTATCTCAGTTTATATATATCGAGCGATGTATATCTCAGTTCATATACATCGAGTGATGTATATCTCAGTTCATATATATCGAGCGATGTATATCTCAGTTCACGTGGAAAATTGCATTTATCTGAATGTAACTAATTATGTACATAACAGTAAATGATAACAAAGATAATTATTATTTATCAATGTTACATAGACAAGTAGGAATTTGGGACACCTAGGTCGCAAAAAATGTCCCCCTTCGATACCTACCACTGTCATAACCACAAGTTGCTCTGGACCTATTAATTAAATGAAATATACATACACCAGGAATACTGGTAAATATATAAATTTGTGGACTGTATATTAAAAATAATAAATGGTTATATATATACACAATTACATAACAGAAGGAAGATATATCTTAATATCACTCACCAATTTGACTGGAGATTAATGTGTATCATACTCAGAAAACCTCACTCTAACTAAATCTATGAAAATAATGCTGGCCAGAATTACACACAAATCTAGAGAGCTTATCTGAGGTTCCTGGAGCTGTCTTGTCCAGTCGTCTGATATCTCAAGT